CTCGGGCACAAGGCAACCCCGCCCCGCCTGTTGGAGAAATCAGAGTTATTTCCGGTGGGCTTGCTTGTGGAGGACTATCCCGCTTGGCTCAACAGGCAGAACTCAGAAAAATAAGGTAGGGCTCAGACAAAGAAGTTGCCACATTGGACCGATCCCCCAAATAGCCCTGGCAGTGGACCGAGCCTATTACCTTTACGGACGCTGACTGCACAGGCATCCGTTACCCCCATGGCGACCCTCTCGTCATTTTCGCTCTCTTCTCCAATTACAAGGTCAGACGGGTTCTCGTCGACAACGGCAGTTCTTCAAACATCATCTTCCTCAATTGCTTTCGCCAGCTCAAGATTGGGGAAGAGAGTCTGTCTCCTCTCCAAACCCCTTTGGTCGATTTTACTGGTGACCGAGTGACCTCCATCGGCTCCATCGATCTTCCCATCACAATCGGCGAGTACCCGCGGCAGACCACAAAGTTACTCACCTTCCTTGTTGTTGACTGCCCCTCTGCCTACAACATCATCCTTAGCTGTACCGCCCTAAACGCTTTCTAAGCTATCACATCCACTTACCACCTTGCCATCAAGTTCCCCACCGATCTTGGGGTCGGGACAGTAAGGGGAGAGCAGATCGTGGCCAGAGAATGTTATGTCGCCTCACTTAAAGAAGTCAAGCTGAAGGAGGCTATGATCATTGAAGGACTTGATGTCAGAGACGAGGATGAGCTGGTTAGGGGGGAACCAGTGGAAGAACTTGTCGAGATCTTCATCGATCCCACCAACCCAGCAAAAACTGCCAAGATCGGCAGCCAACTATTCACCCAGGCAAAAGTCGACCTTACCGCCCTCCTGATCGAGCACAAAGATGTATTTGCCTGGACCCACTCCGATATGCCGGGTATTGACCCCTCCTTCATAACTCATCGCCTTAGCATTTAACCTCATTTCTGACCCTTCCGCCAGAAGTAGGGTATCTTTCATCCAGAGCGCAACACTCTCATTGCCGCAGAAGGAGATAAGCTCCTTGAGGCACAATTCATCAAGAACGTAGACTACCCTAGATCGTTGTCAAACGTGGTCCTGGTCCGTAAGAACAACGGAAAATGGCGACTCTGTGTCAACTACTCCGATCTCAACCGAGCTTGCCGCAAAGACAGCTATTCCCTTCCTCGCATAGATCTGCTGGTTGACGCCACGGCCGGTCATCAAATATTCAGCTTCATGGATGCCTCCTCTGGGTATAACCAAATTCTGATGCACCTGTCTGATCGGGAACACACATCCTTCATCACCGACAGTGGTACCTACCACTACCGTGTGATGCCATTTGGGTTGAAGAATGCTGAGGCCACCTACCAACGGTTGGTCAATGGTGTCTTTCATCATCAGATAGGCCGAAACATGAAAGTATATATCGATGACATGCTAGTCAAGAGCAATCTCTCCAATGATCATCTGGCCGACCTGAAAGAGACTTTCGCCACCCTACGAAAGTACCAAATGAAGCTCAATCCGGAGAAATACGCCTTCGGCGTAGGAGCTGGGAAGTTTCTGGATTTCATGGTCAGTCAGCGGGGCATTGAAGCTAACCATGAAAAGATCAAGGCCTTGATTGAAATGCAATCACCCAGAACGGTAAAGGAGGTTCAGAGATTTACTGGCCGAGTTGTCGCCCTTAATCGCTTCATTTCTCGCGCAACGGACAAGTGACTCCCTTTCTTCAAAGTTCTTCGGCAAACTTTTGAGTGGACGACCGAGTCCGAAGAGGCTTTTCAACAATTAAAACAGTGCATGGCCAATCCCCCTCTCCTTTCTCAGGCAATCACGGGCGAACCCTTCTTTCTCTATTTAGCCGTGTCAATCACCGCAGTCAGTGCAGCTCTCATCAAGGAAGACAGCTCCGTCCAACGGCCGGTCTACTACATCAGTCGGGCTTTCAGGGAAGTGGAACAGAATTACCGATTGTTAGAAAAAATATCCTTGGCTTTGGTCACCGCCTCTAGACGACTCTGTCCTTACTTCCAAGCCCATTTCATAGTGGTCCTCACTGACCAACCATTGAAAAAGATCATGCAACAACCAGAGCTCTCCGGAAGACTTATGCAATAGTCGGTCGAACTTAGCTAGTTTGATATCTCTTACTGGCCTCGGACAGCGATTAAGGGACAGGCTGTTACCGATTTCATCCTGGAATTCACTAATCTCATCCCAACCACAGCTCCTCCACCCCCACCAACCCCTATCGAACTAGAAGACCCACACTCCTGAACCCTCAATGTCGATGGATCATCCCGCAAGGAAGGCAATGGGGCTGGTCTCATCCTTACCTCCCCTGAGGGTGGTTATTTCAAATTTGCCCTCTGTTTCTTGTTCAATGCAAGCAATAATGAAGCCGAGTATGAGGCGTTGATTGCAGGTCTCCGCCTCACCAGAGACATTGGTGTCAGCCATATTCAAGTGTTCAGCGATTCCCAGCTCATTGTTGGTCAAATCACGGGGGAATTCGATGCCAAAGATGACACAATGCGGGCTTATAGGGATATTGCACTCCCTCTCGCTCGCCTCTTCACCAGTTTCCATATCAAGCACATCCCTCTGACCGAAAACTCCAAGGAAGATGAAATGGCTTAGTTGGCTTCGGCAGACCAGTCAAACCTCAGCCACGGTGTCCACCTCGAGTACCTGACTCACCCTGCCATTTTCTCAAACCAGCAGCAAGTCTACTTTCTCCGAAATGAACCTATCCCCTGGGCGGCCGATATCTCTCTATTCTTGGCAACGGGGGAACTGCCAGCCGACAAACAACAGGTCGCCAAAGTCAGGGCCCGGTCGTCCAACTACATTCTTGCCGGCAACCTCTTGTACAAACGTGGTTTTTCATGCCCATACCTCAGATGCCTCAATCCTGCTCAAGCAACTTACGTGATGAAGGAAATCCATGAGGGTATCTGTGGTAATCATTCGGGCGCCCGGTCCCTAGCCCACAAAATACTTCGCACTGGTTATTTTTGGCCTATTCTTAATCAGGATGTAATAGACTTCGTGCTCAAATGTGATAAGTGCCAGCATTTTGCCAACATTCCCCATGCTCCTCCTACAGAATTAATCACGCTTTGCAGTCCCTACCCATTTGCCAAATGGGGGATCGACCTAGTTAGCCCATTGCCCACTGGTCGAGGGCAAACCAAATTTGCCATTGTCGTCATTGATTACTTCACTAAATGGGTGGAGGCAGAACCCCTTGCCACAATTACCGAGCAGAACACAACCAGATTCATTTGGCAGTCGATTGTATGCAGATTTGGCATCCCTCAAGCCATCGTCTCTAACAACGGCAAACAATTCGACAATACCAAGTTCAGGAAATTCTGTGTAGAGCTTCGAATCCAGCCATGTTTTTCTTCCCCAGGTCATCCCCAAGCCAATGGCCAAGTTGAGGTCACCAACCGTTCTCTTCTGAAGATCATCAAAACCAAGTTAGAAGCTGCTAAGGGACTCTGGGCTGAGGAACTACCGAATGTACTCTGGGCTTACCGTATTACCGCTCGAACTCCTACTGGGGAGACCCCCTTTCGCTTAACATACGGCGCTGAGGGCGTCATCCCAGTAGAAATCGGTCTTCCTACCCCAAGGGTTCTATATCCGAATCCGGAACTAACTAAAGAGCTGCGTCGAGCAGACTTGGACCTAATTGAAGAGCTCCAAGAAACCACTGCAGTCAGACAGGCCTCATACCAACAGAAAATGAGAACATACTACAACCGCAAAGTCCGACCGAGGGAATTCGCAGTGGGGGATCTTGTTTTGCGAGAAGCAACTCTTGTCACCAAAAATCTAACTGAGGGTAAACTGGCAGCCAAGTGGGAAAGACCTTACGTTGTGAAAGCCAGACCTCGTCCGGGTACTTACTGGTTTCAGGATATGGAAGGTCGAGACCTCCCCCATCCTTGGAACGCTGAGCATTTGAAGCGTTATTTTCAATAAAAGTTGTATTTTTGCATTGATCAATCGCTGTATTTTCTTTTTGACAATCTACGCACTTGCATGCTCTCATTCTCTCCTCATATGGTGTAAATTTATGATCAAATAGGCTGCAATTTGTATGGCAACAAGCTTTTATCTCAATTATTTGTGCGGTGTTTCAATAACGCCTTGATTGCAGCCTCAGCCAGACTGAGCATGAAGAGCTCAGCCAGACCGAGTTACTTAAAGCCTCTGCCAGACTGAGCATGAAGAGCTCGGCCAGACCGAGTCATGTAAAGCCTCAGCCAGACTGAGCACGAAGAGCTCGACTAGACCGAGTCACGTAAAACCTCAGCCAGACTGAGTTACTTAAAGCCTCAGCCAGTCTGAGCCACCATTACAACTTTATGATCGTGGCATAGTTGTCATACTTAGTCAAATTCCGGTTCAACATTTTCCAAGTCAGACTGGCTCCTTGCTGGGTCATGATTCACAACTTCACTCTGCATTGAGGTTTTCTCACATTTTAAACTTCACTCTGCATTGAGGTTTTCTTACATTTTAAACTTCACTTTGCATTAAGGTTTTCTTACATCTTATACTTCACAATGATTTATACACAAACCCTGTGCAAGTCACCATTCTCATTTTTTCACAATGATTTACAGAATTACGAACATGAAAACAACAATGTGCCAAACACAATTCACAATTTTATTTATTCACAAGTTTATACATAAGTCTATTACAGAAATTCCAAAAAAAAAAAAAACAAACAAACAAACAAACAAAAACAACAACCCAACCTCCAAGCACAAATTTTGTCCAAACCATTTACTCCTCTTCACTTGAGACGAGGTCTTCTTCTTCAACACCCTCGTCTAAGGAGGTCTGGGCCATGTCGTCTTCATCAATCTTTACACTACTGAGGTCCAAGTCTGGGAACAGCTCTTCTGCTTTGCATTTAAACATCTTCCAGCCGTTGTCCCAGTACTCAGCCATCTCGTGTTTGTAGAAGTCCGACCGCTGGAAGCTCTGGATTACTTCTTTTTCACTCCTGCTCCCAGCGGTCATTCCCGACAGACCAGCCCCCCCAGACGTCTCCCTTGCCAAGTTACTGGCGATCGCAGCATCGATTGCCATCTGGAAGTCAGCAGACCCCTTGAACTGCTCTACTACAGCGACGTACAAGTCGGGGTATGCTGCCCTCTCAGAGGCTGCCTTGGTCTTCTCTTCCCCTAACTCCTTCTCTAACCTCGCCTTCTCCTCTATTGACTTGGCCCGCTCGTCCGCCAACGTCCTCTCCAGCTCAGCAATCTTCAAATCCAACTCTTCTTTCTCTTTTATTGACTGAGCTTGAAGATCTTCGTTGCTAGACATGGCCTCCTCCCACCGATCGTTGGCGACGATACAGGCTGCATGGGCCTCTTCTAGCTTCTTCTGCTCGTTCCCCAATTGGAACTCGAGCGACACCACCTTGCGGCGTTTCGCTTCCAGCTCCAACTTGGTCGCGAACAGTTCAGCATTGGCTCGCTCGGCTGAGTACCCCTGCACTATCGCCAACACTTGCATCTTCTTGGGCTTCTGGGCCTCTTCCAATCCCCTAGCACACACACTTCGCGAGGTCTCCCTCCATTCAGCAGTTTCTCTTCTCAAACTTGCAAGTTGGGTCTTCGCCTCCTCCAACTTTGCCTTCAGAGGTTTCACGTCACTTTTTGCAGCCGCTGCCTTTCTCAGCAGAGCCCCTGCTAAGGTGGTCTCCTCCATTTGGGCAGAGCATAGCCCCCTTAGTAGCTCAGCCTCATTGAACCTGGCCACCGAGCACACGGCTGCTTCGTCCACTACCTCCAAAAGATGATCTGTAGCTGCCTTGGCTGGGCCTTCTTCTCCCTCCAGTTGCCCAGACACTGCACGAGCATGATAGATGGCAGTCGTCAGCTTGACCCCCTCTCCTTGGGGTGCAGGACCCCCCTTAGGCTGCTGCTCCACCCCCTCTTCAGGATCAGCTGACCCACTCTCCACTTGCATCTTGGGCATGGCACTCATGTGCTCTTCTTCCTCTTGGCCCCCTCTGACCTTTGTCCCCTTACACCTCTGGGACAACCACCCTTTCTGGGGTAGCCCTTGTTCCCTTCTTCTCTGCCTTCTCCACCATAAGAGTGTCCTCCCCACCGACCATCGCCTTCTTCGATCCAGGCACATCTGTAGCCCCCTCAGGGGCACCCCACCTCTTCTTCTTCTTCTTCAAAGCCTTCCCCTCCTTGTTTGCCCTTTTCTTTACTGGATCAACTGGGGGCGGTCGTGGCTCAAAACTGCCCAAGTCCTTTTCCTCCAAAGGCTTGGGGCGCGGTCGGATTCGCTTCCTCGCGATCGGCTTCGGACCAGGCCCCAGTTGGGTCTCCTTGTATTTGTTCGCACGGGCGAGCAACCTTCTCTCCTCCTCCTCCTCCGCCTTCCGTTGCCTCTCTAACTTCTCCCTTGCCGGATCCTCTTCCAACGGTTGCGGCCCCAAGTTCAGGGCAAACAACTTTGAAGGCAGGACCAGCTCGTCCCACCTCACCCCCTTCTCTTCCCTCCATTCCTTCACCCTCTTCACACGGTCCTCCGCCGCCTTGTCCAACTTGGGCTCGACCGATTTGGTGGGCACCTTCCACGTCGTGCGAACCCCAACTCCACCATTTGCCGTCACGAAGAACCATCTCGGCCTCCATCCCTTCACCGAAGATGGAAGACCAGCCACCAGCCCTCGCCTTGCCACTGCTTGTAGAGTCACCCAGGTCTCCTGCTGACCGGAGGCCTTGTAGCAGGAGAAGAACTCGTCCACTGACATTGCCGTCCCTCCGGTCGCCTCCAACCAGGCACTCGCGCACGCCATTACTATCTTCCAAGCGTTCGGCATCAGTTACCCAGGCGCCGCCCCTAACTTATTTAACACCTCCACCACTACTTGGGGGAGAGGTAGCCTCAAACCCCCTCGCAACGCTTTCTCGTACAAACTGAACTTGCCCGGCCGCATATCCGATGCCCTCTCCTTGGATTCGGGCAGTCTTAGCCCTACCTCCGAGAGAATTTGATACTTCTTTCTTATTCCCTCTAACTCCTCTATTGTCAGCACGAATCTGTCCAGTTTGGTGTGCCAATGGTCCGGCTCCACCTGGCTAATAGGTCTCGCGGTGGAAATCATTGTCCTGGGGCGAGCCCGCACAGCCTGACTCGCTTCTTCCTCCTCTCTACGCTCCGTACGGTATTGTTCCGCCAACTCTACCACATCATCGTCACCCAATGGATCAACTCTTATTTCCTCTTAGGTCATCTCTCTCTGTGTCTGCGAATAGTTTCGGATGCGTGCGTAAGAAAATTCACAAAGTGTTGTAGGGGTGTATTGCTTGCAACGAAGGAGTCTACACTTGGAATGTTTTGATTTTTTGCACAAAGGTAGGTAAAGCGAATAATACCAAAGGCCCAAGGCTTGCCTGTATTCCAAGGGTCACAATTAAATTTCTCCAGTTTAAAAATTTTCAAAAATCTGCCAAAACTGTCTTTTCAACACCTTACAATGACCTATCATCAACGCCTAACCTTCCCCACAACGAGATTCTGTCACGTGTACGACCACGATCCACTACCCCTTTCTCCTTCTCTATCTATTCTACTTCACTTCACCACATGCCCCGCTGCCTCTCGAGCCCAGCGCCGTACCACCAACCCCTCGCAGTCGGCTCTCCCCATGGTCGGTCTCCCCACTCGGCCACCCTTCGCAGTCGGCTCTCCCTATGGTCGGTCTCTCCACTTGGCCACCCTCCATGCTCGCCCCTCCTCAGGGTCGGCCCCACACTCGGTCGCCTTCGCGGTCGACCCTCCTCATGGTCGGTCAACCCTCTCACAACCCTCATTTTCTTCATTATTCCCTTCGTTGGACTAAAGCTGCACTTGGGAATGGGGGACTACTGACATGGGTAAGCCCATAAAGATTATAGCCCACCATTTGGGGCCCAATACATAACTCAAATGCTAAAGCCCAACACTGCTGAAGCCCCATGTAGCAATAAGAACCAATGACATCAAGACACATGGCGAGAGAAGGGCAAGCCATATCAGCAGACAAAGATCTGCAAAGTTATTGCCATGCACATCGCCATTAATGAGGCCCCTTACAGCATTTATTGCGATAACCCCTCTCCGTCGGAATAGAACGCCTTCACCATAAATAAGGTAAGCTAGAGCATAGACTTTCGACCAAGGTGACAGGTCGGAAGGGACAACGAAATGATTACTAAAGGATATAAGCAAAGGTCGAAGACAGAAAGAATGTTAAGTTTTTCTATCTCTAATCTATCTACACATTCCACTTCTCTCTTTCTAACTTGCTCGTCGGAGGGTTCGCTGGGGGACTCCCCATTCCCCGTTGAACTCTTGTGCAGGTCTTCTGGTGGGCTTGGTCATTCGGACATAGGCTCGACGAGCGTGGATCAGTCCGACCCGTTCCACTTGGAATGAACTGTATCATCATAGAGTTTCTGCTGGGATTGCTATGTTCTGGTTATTGGTTGTTCTGGTCTGTTTGTTGGGGTTGTTCTGCTGTGGGTATATTCATTGTTGTCTAGCTCTAGCCTGGGATTAGAGGTCTGTTGGTGTTTGAGGTTGAGTGGAGGCTGCAAATAGATAGGCTCTGGTCTGCTAAGGGAAACAAGGGAGAAGATCTATTCTCTGCTGGTCTGATTTGCTTGGGTTACCAATCTGTCTAGGCACTATGGACCTGAACTGCTTAATGAGTGGGGCTTTTGATTCTATTCCTAGTTGTTTCCTGCTGCTAAGAGCAATGCTTGAATGGCTGCTGTTTGGTCATGCCTGTTGTTTGGTCTCTAGCTGCTGGTCTATGGAGCTTGCTGCTGTGAAGATATGGAGTGTGGCGTTGAGTTTATCTGTGGGTATGCTATTGTGTATGGAGTATAGCATCCTAGTAGCTGTTGGTAATCCAGCAGCAAGGGTTTAGAGAAATTGGGATAGAGAAATTATGTATAGCTCTAGCCTTTCTCATCATAGCTTTGTTTCTGAGTTCTGTGGTCAACTTATATCAGTGCAGTCAGATTTGGTGGCTTCTCCAACCCAGGGCTACTGTTGATGTCTCTTTTACTGGTTCTCTACAGTTGGTGAAAAGAGTTCTTCATCAGTTGATGCTGCTGCTTTTGGTAATCCAGCAACAATTGTGTATAGCTCTAGCCTTTCTTCATGTTCTGCTGAGTTTTGTTGTTTACAGGCGATTAAAGCTCAATGGTGCAGCTTGGCTAGGCTGCTTGAGGTTGGGAGCTTCTATCTATGGATGGAGTCTATGCTAGCATAATGAGCTCAAGGACTTCAAAATGCTCTGTAGTCTGTCGGTTTGCCATGCTTAGGTGCTAGCATCGGTTGGTTGGTTGGTTGGTCTGTTCTTTTTTCATTGGTCTCTCACCAACTTTGGGGTGTTAGCAAATGATAGGATGAGTTTTGTGGTGCCAACCTAGTTGGGATCATTTAGCTCATTATGATGCTTTTGCACTTTCCTTTCTTTTATTGATGTTGTTTGTCTTGTACCTTGTACTTGTTATTCCATTAATAAAGTTTCTTTTTTGCCGATAAAAAAAAAAAAAAAAACACGCATAAGATGAATCCAAATTTGCGTATATTACTCGAAATTGTGTTGAACTTACACATTTTTATGAGACTACTTATGTAAATTCGTGAAAACTTATATAATTTTATATACGATTGCATATAATGTGCCCAAAATTTTTCCAGTTTATAATCAATTAGCTTAAACATTAAGGTAACATTTGGTAACGTTTACGTTTTTTGTTTATGTTTACAAAAATTTTATGAACTGGTTTTTGTATATTTTTAAAAAAACATAAATTACAAACGCGTTTGATTTGAACAAAATGTTTGAAAATTTTTAAAAATATAAACTAAAAAATATGTTTTTTCAGGCCTAAAATATTTATATTTATTTTTTATTATTTATGACAATGGGATCATACACATTATAATTGGAAAAAAAAAATTATTTGAAAAAAAATTAATTGAAAAAAAAATTATTAGTCAAAATTTTAAATTTCTATTTAAAAACTAATGCAAACTCATTTTTTGGGTTTATATTTTTTTCTCAAATTTATAAACTGAGACAATCATTTATAAACCAAAAAAATTATTAAACAAGTTTTTATGACAATTTTTTAAATTTTTATAAATACAAACTAAAAATTAAAAACAAAATGATTACCAAACAAGTCATACGTAAGCTTTTTCAAAAAGACTCGTTTAAGAATTTGTTTTACTTTTAAGATGATAAAACCCAAGTCTGCACACCTTAATTAATAATGAATGTTTCTTGCATGATTAGATTATATTATGGATAAATTACATTGATCTGACCTAAGGTTTGAAATAAATTTAATATTTTATAGTTTTAATATAATTATGTTAAGGTCCCTTAAAGTTTTAATTTACGTAGTACCTAACTCATTTTTTATCAATAATTCGTTAGTCATATAGATAAAAAAATATATATATTTTTTACACTTAAATGTATATTTTTCTTTGTTTATTCTTGTGATTTTTTACTATTTATATTAGTTTTGATCACTTTAACCTTACCAGAAAGGAAGCCAATGAAATTATACCAAAACTATGAAACTATTTATATTTTTAATATTCCTCTAGAGAAGTTAGTGTAATTTACCCTTATATAATATTATTGTCTTTTATTACTTACTCTGTGAGATGTAGAATATATGTGCTTAACTTCTAAATGTATACTTACGCTATAATTGAAATTTGACTTGACATCGTTAAAAAATAAAAATTAAAGAAAAAAAAGTTACTTACACATATTTATTTTTTAAAGTTACCCAAACAAAATAATATTTTTTTTACAAATACCTAATCATTTTTTTCCCCACTTTTCTAACCCAACCAAAAAATACCTTATTTGCAATAGGGCCAAAAGCAATTTGGTTATTTTCAAACAGTTCCTATACTCTTCCTTGACTTCTGTTTTGGTGCATGGAAGG